CTCGTGGGTCATAGTGATGATTGAGAGACATTACTTCTATATGAGTCTGTACACTGTTTCAAGTAAAATCCTGAATAGTATACCTTTAAGGCCATCATCAGCATCTGTACCTGGCAGCTTATTCAACACATGGAGTCGAGATTGTGTCTGTGAGCTGTGGACAGATCCACCAGTAAAAAGAATGTCTTTCACCTTTGTGAATAAAGTTCTGAAATGAGCTGAGTGTGCTCTGCCACAGCAAAGTGTGAATTACACTTACCACCCTTTTTACAGCTGTTACCATTTTCACCCAAAGGTAATAAAAGAGATCTTAGGCCTTCCCAGGGAAAGAAAAAAATAAATAAAAAAAGCCAACTACAAAAAAAGAAATGCCTACATCTACATGGGCTGCAATAGAATGTGAACTATTTAGACTGCAGGGTCAAAATGGCCACCATTAAAGTGGCGATCATGTGGCAGACTCTTAAGGTTAGAGTCATGTGACTGACAAGGGTAGCCAAGCTAGCACTAACCCTAGCCAGGTCATCTATGAGACTTTATTCCAAATTACTTTATGGCTGTGGGTTTGAGGATATTGCTGCATAAATTATTTAGAATTAATTATCTGATATTTTTTGTCATAATGGAACTGTAATACAGAAATAGGGGGCTGGGGGTCTATTTCAATCATAACCACCAGTTATTTTAAACACGTGTATATTGATTACATCACAAGTCATCATTTTAAGATTTTTCACTGCTTTGTTAAAACTAAACAGGGCTGAAAAAAGTGAGAAACACAACAGGTTGGTGAACAAGCTTTACCATACTTTCATGTTAAACAAATTTTTCAAAGACAGTGTTATTATGCACTTCTTCACTGTTTGACATTTTCCAGTAGTAGTACATAAGTACAAAGCCACCGTGATGGACACCTCTCACTAATTGGAGATCAAATCTTTTCCACTGAACTTCTAACTTAATGGTCTAGTGTTCAGGATTTGGTGGCATCTAGTGATGAGGTTGCAGGTTGCAACTAACTGAAACTCATTCTGTTTACCAAGCGTGTAGGAGAACTTTGGTTGCCGATGCAAAAATGTGAATGGTCCTATTTTCACCTAATGGTTGGTTTGTCCGTTATGGGCCACTGTAGAACCAACATAGCGGACTCTGTGAAAGATGACTGGCTCTGTATGTAGATCTAAACGGCTTATTCTAAGGTAACGGAAACATGATTCTTAGTTTCAAGTGTAAACAATAATAAAAACATAATTATGAATATTATATTCCATTTCTGCCAATACATATCCCTACATCCTTCACACTGGACCTTTAAAAGAACTATAATATAGATGATTTATACAACAGTTAGATCCGACTCTGCAATCTGTTTGGTCAAGAGACAGTAAAACCGTGACGATATTGGAGTACAACATCACGGTTATTTCACTGTGTATGTATCACTCCGCCTCACAGCTGATTGCAATCAACAATCAAATCAAAACTGACAGTTAGTATCAGTTAGGTCAGCAGTTGCGTTGCATCCCTGGAAAAGTATTTTCAAACTTCCACCAGATGCAAATGCCTTTTATCTGAAGCCCAGGATGACAGCAGCTCACACAGGCAATATCTGGTACACTAAAGCTCCTCTGGGAATAAACTCACTCGCACAGATGCTGCCAAAGATGTGTAAAGAGGCGGGGACAAGAGCTATCTACATCAATCACAGCCTCAGGGTGACTGACATACAGAAGCTGTCAGATGCGGGTCTTGAAGCTAGGGAGATCATGACAGTGAGTGGGCACAGGTATGATGTTGTTTTAACATAGCCTATGTGTAAAGTTAGTCTTCTTTTTAGGAGTCGGTCCCTAAAATATACCTTTTGTCTTGCAGGTCTGAGAGCTTGTTAAAAAGCTACTGGAAGCCATCCATGGAGAGCAGAAAACGATGGAGCAACATACTGTCAGATCAGAAGGCAGAGTCGGCTGTGCCTGTGAAGCGACAGTCCACCATGCAGTCACCAGAGACTTATTTCACCGGCTGCACAATTAATGGAAACGTGCAGATAAATGTGTATAAAGAGTAAGTGCCTGACGCACCATGTCTTTGTTACATAGCAATTGTGACAGCGGAGTCCTGAGGGAACTATTTTTGTTGGCGGAAGACAAATAAAATGCTTAAATTATCTATTTTGTCCTCATTTTTTAACATTTCTTAATCAGCCTTGCTGAACTGTTGTATAAAAGCAACATCACACTCGAGCTCATGATGTTATACTCGTATATCGTCACGGCTGTGATTGTCTTCGGCACTCGGCCTGCAGCCTCATGCCTATGACCAAATCACAGCCGTGACGATATACGAGTATAACATCACTCCCTCTCCTGTGATGTTGCTTAAATATACACGCTTGTCTACAAGTTGCACTCACAGAAAGCTCTATGTTCTTTGGAAAGCAGTTGGTTTCAGTGGTTACATGAAAAAGCTGACATAAAAATTGCCTTTCCATTAGCATCAGTTATATTGTGCCATTTGAAAAGCAGGCAACGGAGGAAAGAAAAAAAAGCTTTTGACTTCTTGTTCCGGATGTGACGTTATAAAAGCCAAAGTCTCTGTTCTGGTGGTGAGCATGTAGTTATTATCGGCAATACTATCATTAGTATCATCATTATTATTATGTTTCACTTTTTCCTAGTGACTGCCTGCTGTTGTTGCCACTGGTAATTATGGTGCTTCGGATGGCCTTAACCCTCCATAAACCATCATTGCAGCACAGCATTACTTTCTCTCCCTGGATTTAATCTCCACTGTATTCTGCTCACCTGTTCACTCACTCAATCACTCACTTGCTTGCTCTTGCATCCCCCTCTTTCACTAAATGTTTCATATCTCATTCCTCTTTCAACACTATTCTCTCCCTCCCTCTCCAGATGCTTCTTCCCTGTACTCTCTGTTCCCTCCTGTCTTCTCTCTGTCCTTTATATCTCTTTATTTCCTTTCTGCCAATGGTGAGCAGTCACCAAGCTTGTTATTAGTGCCAGGTCCAAGCTGGCACTGTAATCAGACCCCTGGAATTAGCAGTGGGCCCACTCTGGCGGGCAGGCACGCCGCTGACAAAACACTATAGTTATTATTGAGGCTGCTGAAATGTTGCAGCTCTGGCAGGAATCCGCTACTCCCCTCAGAGCCCTGGATCTTGACGGGCTTTGCTAAAGAGGAGCAATGAGAGGTACAGCAGGAGTATAGGCACCCACCAGGGGCTAAGGGATAAAACACACACTGGATGGCTACCAGTGGGAGCAGTGAATGGCACACTTTTTGTTTGTGAGGGTGCAGGTGGCACTTAAGCACTGGGAGTGTAGCCATATTGGAAAGACAATAGAGTGGACATAATGGGGACGTGTTTTAATATTGGGGGATAAAGATAGGAAGGCAAAGCCTGTTATATTAGGACAGGGTGTAATAGAAATCCGTTTACTTGACAATAACAAGCAATTTATTGTCATTCAGAGACTTGCAGCTTTGCGTTTGAGGAAGAAGCCATGCTAGTTTTCCGTCCCAAAGATCAAAACATCTCAAATCCCGTGTCAATTATTTCAAACCTCCACATTCACCATGCTTTGAGCAGTTTATTCACCTAGATTTTACTGCATCGAAATTCAACTCACAGCAGTTTAATGGAGAGAGTCAGTCTCAGGTCAGATTGCTTTCTGATATACTGTAGATTCGGTAAACTTTCTGCGATTGATCTTTTTCTGGATCAAAGGTAAAAATTTGATCTCTCAAAATGTTCAAACTCTGTATATACTGAGGGTAACAATTCAGAAAGCACGCAGACGTCTTCAAAGAATGAAATCAATTTGTTTTTGAAGTGTGATGAACACATAAATACAGAACTGCAGATGAACAGTCGAACCTGCTTGACCTCCATTGTCTTCAAATGTGTGAGCATATAAGTAATCAAATGTCAAACTTTAAATCCACTAACTTTTCTTTCAAGCTCGACAAGTTAAGTCTCATATTCATAATCTTAAAACATTAAATAAGAAGTGATATCATGATTATAGATGTTTTGATATGGCTGTATTGATCTCAACCTGAATATTATTATCATGTTAATAATGCACATAAAATATTATAATATCTCCATCCCCCAATGCCATCTGGTTGCGTTTTTGCTATCCATTAGATGTAACTGCTCTGTTTGTACGATTTTGTACAGTTATGATTACAAACTCTTTTTATACCTTCCTAACCTTGTATTTTGACTTTAATTCATTTGCCAAAAAAGAAACAAAAAGCACTGACAGTTTTTTTTTCTCTCGAGATATTATGATTTTATCATTATTGTTACCTATTTTGGCCATGATAATTGTGTGGTAAAAATCTGATATCATGGCAGCCCACCGTGATCACATAATTTCCACTACTGCCTCACAGCAGGTAGTCCTGCTTGGTATGGCCAGCCAGGGTCGACATGTAACACTCTCCTCAGCTGTGCTCTCAGCAACTAAACTCATGTCTGTCTGTGCTGGATACCAGAGAGAAAGCATCTTTTAAAGTCTCTCTGTGTTGAGCTTTCAGTGATTTAGCAGTTTCTACCTGAATCTCTGTGGTCGGGAGTTTAGTTTCACTCCTGTGTTCCGATCTGTACTTTCACATACTGCCTTTCTTTTTTTAACTGACTGCTGACTTGCTTTCAGGCCTATTGAAGCTATGTTGAGTTACTGCTGATTCAAACTGCAACTTTCCTGCTGGTCCTGCTTCACATTACAAGCTTCCCACTGGTGAACCAGCAGCAGGATGCTTCTTCTGTGAAGAAGTTATAGGAAATGCAATATGTTTATTGCCACGTTAGCAGAGCTTCATTTGTGCAAAAACCCTGGTTACATTAGTGACCTTGGCCATGGAATTTTCTCAAATCATTTTCCTGAAATGAGGTGAGCTGTTAAATTGATATATATCTGCCGCCAGTTTCTCTAAAAGTGGTTGGTGGCTGTTAGATAGGTGTTGTTACTTACAGCAGGGCCCCTTGCGTAGAACCTTGATGCGTCTCTGTGTGTTGCACTGAGCTTTCTCCAGCTCGCACTCGTTGGAGTAGGTGGACGAATCTGAGCCGCACACAGGCGCCACCAAGGACGGACAGTCCACTCTCTTGCAAACACACTCAGCCTTGGCCGGGTCAGTCTGGTCACGCTCGCATACAGCTCCGAAGCCACACAACATCCCTCTGCAGCCTGTCAGACAGGAGGAAAAAAAGGTGGAGGTGTTAGGATTGATAAAAGAACATCTAATCATATAAGCATATTGCTTTCTGTCACAATTTTAAGGTCAGTTACAGACACCCAAGGCTGCCTGACCACAAACCTGCACAATCCACTGTTTAGCTTTCCCTCTCTTCTTCTAGAAAAGTTTTCATGACTGAATGCAAAGAAAATTTATGATTTAACATCAGACAGGCACGTCTGAACACATTCGTCTCAATATGCGTCAGCCATTGGGGTCTTTGTGCAGAACTCTACACAGTTCAGCAGCACAAATGCATCAGGGATTAAATGTGATCCTGGCGTAAAGCAAACAGATGCTCTCAATTCATTCCGGGAGAATCTGTCCACCCATGCAGAGCAAGCACAGTGTGTTGTTGGGCGTGCTGAGACTATTGCGGAATTTGGGAAAGCTTTAATGTCAAAGATTTTAAAAAGTTTGCATCAACATTAAAATCAATCTACAGACAGCAGGCTGATATGCAGTCTTGTGGACAGATCTTTTTTTCATCCTCTAAAGAGGCTGCAGTCTTTGAAACATCAATGATGCACCGTCCAGGAAAACACGCAGGGACAGCAACACGAAGACAAACCAAGGTTAGCCAAACACTTCAAGGCTACACAAGTCATGCAACAACAACTCTTAAGACTTTGATCCCATACTTCCCACTGACTCCTCAGCTTTGATCAAGCGAGAAAACAGCAAACTACAAAATCTGTCAGAGGCTGCTGAACGCGCAGAGCAAACAGGGAGTACCTGTGTGCGTGTGCTCGTGTTGTGGGTACATAACATCAACTTAGAGAGTAATTCACTCGTGTTGTGGCAGCTACAGCTGCTGTGGCTCTGTGCCCACTTTGAGGGCTGTTGGGCAGCCAGCTGGCGTGACGTCCTTGCCTCAGCACTGGGGGGCGTTAAAAGAGATGGCAAGCTCTCACAGGTAGCCAACCTGATTGGAAATCAATGGACGAAAGCACATAAAAATCCACTTTTAAAAAAGTCCTCTTGTTTGGAGGGGGTGAACAGCCAGTGTCACTGCTGAGGATATACATGTCACACACTCACACACACGTGCACACACAGAGCTATTTCTTATCAGTGGCTCCCAGGCCAAGACTAAATGCAAGGTGGCATGTCCACTTGGACTTGCTGGCAGGTGGCTTTTGCGGTACTGGATAGAGAGACCGACAGTGTGTTAGACACACACGCACACGCACACGCACACACACACACACACACACACGCACGCACACACACACTGTATATACATAAAACTCTTTGTGTGCAGCATGGACAACTGGTCCAGCATCTGCCCAAGGCATCTCATTCTGTCTCTCTCCTCACACTGAAGCACAGTGTGTAAATGCGTGTGTGTGTGTGTGTTTGTGTGTGTGTGTGCGCATGCGGAGTGACAGGCGAGGAGGCTGTTTTTGACTTGCCCACTGTTCCCTGTGGGAGAGCGCCTGACAGCTACCTGAGCTCACTCTCTTTCGTACCAGGGGAAAAGGAAGTGTGTGTGTGCGTGTGTGTGTGAGAGAGGCTCTCCATGAATGCATCTGTATTCTTGACAGCGTGCATGTGTGTCTGAGAGGTGTAGGCATTAGGTGTCTCGCACACACACGCAGCCAGGTGCTAGCATGAAGGCCGTGTCATGACAGGCCCACTGCTCTGGCATCACTTCGCACCTCGCACTGTGTGTGTGTGTGTGTGTGTGTGTGTCTGTCTGTCTGTCTGTCTGTGTGTTTGTGTATGTGAGTGTCAGCATGTGGCTTGGAGGCGAAGCCATGCGAGCAGAGTGACAAGAGGTGAAATTCAATCGAACTGTGTCAGATGTGTACAAGAGAGAGGGAGGGTGTCTGATAGGATGACAAAAACAAACCCCCTAGAGACTGAGGTTGTGTGTGACTAAACAACGATCTCTCTGTGGTTTAAATGCATCAGCTGTGTTCCTCAGCCATGTACCAGGTAATACTAATAGCCACAAAGTAAATAATATTGATACTGTTGTTCAAATAACTCACAAAATACAGATTGTAAACACTGACAGCAAACACCACCTGGATAGAAAAAAATCATGAATGCCAGCACTGGTTTGTAACCAGATCTCTTCTGTGATGTTTTCCTATAAGAAAATCTCACTCTAGCCTCGAGCTTAGCTGACTGACAAAAGGCTGACACCAGAGCTGAGGGCTCTGTCAAAAGGAAGGTATCAAGTGAAGGCCCTGAACCGAGTGTACAAACTGCATACTTATGTACTCGGAGATCTTTCCTGGGAGAAATCCTCCAGGTACCCAAGAAAAGATACAGTTGACACATCCGATTTCTTAAGAATGGAAAGAAGCCCTCAGCAGTCAGTGTGGACAGCATTATCTACCATGGCTGAAAACAAAAGTATACCACCAACAAAAACTTGTCAACAATAAATTCGAACTGGCCCTGACCCAGTTTGATTGACAGGTGATCTCGAGGAGCACAGACACAATCATAAAAACAGTAAGGATCCTGTAGACATGTCCTGAAGACAGACAGGCATCACTTTACAAAAACAACAAATAGTGATCAAATGTAATCTTCAGGATGCCAATGCAAAGCTTTTCCCACAGGCAGCTTTCACAACTATGATGTTATGTGTCCCATTATTGCATTGAAATAAACAGGGACAAGCATTTGAACATATAGAGCTACATCACGACATTCAGGCTTTTTTTTTTTGTTACACATACACACAGATAGGCCCCCTTACTTTGTCTAAGTAGGTGATGTTGACATGCCTAATTAAAGTTAGTTTTCTTCATAATTTAGGGTCAAATAGATGGCTTGTTCATTTTAGAATGAAAGCAGTTCGGTAGCGTAGTTGCTATGGTCAAACAAGCTAGGAAGCAGCTAGCTTAAAAGCTACAAATGAGGCTGGACCTTTTCCTATTAATTACTTTGCCTCTTTTATGTATTAAATGATAAACGAGGTGTCCAAACTTGGTGGCTCACTAATTCCAATGAAAGCCATTTGCCCTGCACATGAACCAAAAATGTTTCCCACACTTCCTCTCTAGCTTCTAACCACATTAGCGTTAGCATTAGAGCATTTACTGCAGCTTAGACCTGGCAAACTGCGCACACAGATAAATAACAGAAATGGTGGTGGCTATTTTATATACACTAGGCTGTCAGCTATTCTTATCTTTACTCTACGTATATAAATGGGCTGTGCAAAACATTGGCAGCACCTCTCAGCACATTACGATACAGTTCAGCAACACCGCAAATACAGCCTCCAAACTGACCATAGAGTTGAATCAATGCCTTTCCACAGAAAATGAACAGTATAAGCTTCATAACGTAAGATTCATTGCTGGCAAAATGTGCAAGACTTTCATGCTAGGTCTACCCAACAAAATGCCGATTGCATAGGTGTAGATTTTGGGGTGGATGCAAGGGACACATCCCCCTCAGTTATTAGAACTGTGCATTTGTCCCAACCAATATAAACTTGAAAGGGACAGAGGACTTTTGTTTTGACAAAATTAAAGATATTTACACCATAAATTGATGTAGAAAAGGCACACATTGGTGTATAAAAAGTCAACAGAATATAGAAAATTATGTGTTAATGCTCACATCTTCTGGCAGAAGACCCCCAACTCCCACTTCATGAGTCCCCCATGACCAATGCTGAAACAAAACCTACACCCTTGGGCAAGTGAGTGTATGTCAGACCTGATGCTTCAAGTTTCAATGTACGTAATTCCCAGAAAATGTTCTCCTTAGTTTTATAGCCATTGCCTGAATGCTCAAGGCCAAAGGCTTTTCTAGGTCTCAGGGTGTCACATGTCCTGTAACTCCTGCCACAGCACCAAGACCCAGTATTGCTCCTCAGGGCTTCCTTTACCCCATTGGTTGATGGCTAGCATCTAGAATTCTTTGAGCGTCCTACATTTTTAACAATCCCAAAGAAGCAATAAAGATCAGGAGTTTTATGTGGGGATTAACATGGACATCACTGGACTGCATTGATTCCCTAAGTGCTGATTGTCCCTTGAATGGTTACATTTTATAAAAGGGCTCCAGCACTGAGACAAATTCAAGCTTTAAATTGTATTATTTTGACAACTGTGTAAATTTCAAATGGACGTCTGAAATACAGTACAAATTCTCATGTACATATAGAGAGTTCAAGCCATCACAGTGCCACCGGTAAACTTTATCCATAATCCTAAGCAATAAAAAATGTTGGCTTCAAGGTATCAAAATAAAAGCTTTACCCACATCCAAGGCTAGATTACTAAATGACCATTTACATGTGTCCACATAACAGATGCGCTTTTAATGAAAACAACTATGCTGCACCACTGGGATAATAGGCATGACCTTTGGAAGTTCCTTTCTCTCACTTGAGTAGCAGAAATCGTGGGGATTTTAAATGTGTATTCTCTCTCTCCCTCTCTCTCTCTCTCTCTCTCTCTCTCTCGGTGTGTGTGTGTGTGTGTGTGTGTGTGTGTGTGTGTGTGTGTGTGTGTGCTACAAAGTCTGCTCAGCTGGTGTGTCCAAGCAAGAAAGTAGCTTCCAGCTGAGCTGAGATGATGACAGGGGACATTATAAAAAATAAATGCCTTTCTTAATATGGAGTGGTTGGCTGCACCGCCCTGTTCTTGTACTCTGCTCACCAGTGATAGCTGCTGTGGATTATCTCCAACTATATTTACTATATTTTAACAGTTTTACTGTTTATTGTTCTTGATACTGTAAAACTGTAGAAATACAATGATAGAAAATGCTATATCCTAGTGTTATGAAATGTTGCACCTACCTCCCATCTTTCAGACTTGTTAGATATACCTTTGCAGGCACCTCAGATCTCAGATTTAGAAAAACTGCATGAATGAAAGCTTTGCAAATCTTTGTGCAGATGTCTTTTTAAGTGAGTGTGTGTATATGTGTGCAAGCATACTTGCCAGTCCATGTCAGTGTGTAAGGTAAT